ACATATGTTGTTTTATATTTAATTTGTGTGTTCCTTAATTATTCCATCGGTTATTTTACATAATCGGCTAGCACAAACATAAGTTTACCATGTTGGCATTTTGATGTGCACCTACTTCATTCTACTTCATTTACCGGTAAGCCCCTTTTTTTTGTTCTTGAGCCGAGGGTCTACCGGAATCAGTCTCTTTATCTTCATAAAGTAGAGGTAAGGTCTACGTACACACTAACCTCTCATACCTCATTTGTTGGATTTTACTGAATTTATTGTTGTTGTTATTGTTGTATTGTTACCACGAAACCCCATTATAAATTAGGATAATATATTACTCACAATTGGCTCCAAATTGTTAACTATACACCTATGTTTCGTGACAGTCTTATTACATCTCTCGCTTTTTGTTAAAACTAAACTTATTACCACCTTAAGGTGTCACAGCATATTTAACTTATTTTCACTGCCTCTCTTATTTTATTTTAGCATAATAATAATAATATGAATTGAGCTTAAAAAAAGAAGTGAAGATCCACATCGCTGATTCCAACTTTGTTTGAGACTGAGGCGAATTATTATTATTTGAATTTAAATTCATATATCTTAATCTTGACACAAATCTTAATGTTATTCAGATTCATACCGTCTTATTTGAATTTTTTTATATAAAATTTGGCTCCACCAATGAGAAGTGCAATTTAAGTATTTTGTTAATGCACGTTATATTAAAAAAACAGTAAAAAAGTAACCATAAATTTTGTAATGAATTTATACGAAGATTATTTCATTTATGTTTTTAATGAACTTAAATTATAATATATAATAAGGTATTTTAAATTATAAGTAAAACGGCTGAATATGGTCAATTGCTTCGCCTCTAGCTTTGTGACCAAGGGACTTTGAAAAATTATTAAAAGTCGTTTGCTTAAATTAAAGAACCCTTTTGTCACTCGCCGACCTCAGGGAGCGCGACCGGCGCTCAACCGAGATAACCCGGCCGAGCAAGCCTGTATAATACCTTTTACCCAAACTCACCCATAAACAAAGAGAAGATCTATTTCATTGATTAGACCATAAGAAGATCATGTGAGCAACACCAATTCATTATCATTAGTTACATCATTTATAAGTCTAAAAATACATACACTTTCATAGTTTGAAGTGGAACAAGTGGTACAAATACAACATTACTAGTTTGACTCTTCCAACACTAACATACAACCCACACTATGTCTACGGAGCCTCTAATTGATACTAAAGAGTACGGTGATCGTGCCGGTAATAAGGCCCCGGCTATACCTCAAAACATACTACACAAGGAACAAAAGATACACGACCCTGAGATGAAGTGGAGCTCACCAAGTCAGCTGGGAAGAAGGTGTACTGCTATCACTAATCAAAGCCGCATGCATCCATTAAAGATGCAGCGCCCCCGACAAAATGGACATTGGTACATATGAAATGGTACTAGTATGAATGACTAACCACCCTCTCAATAGAACGAGTAATAAAGCAAGGAAGAACAATTATAGATCCAATTGGAGCCTCAAACAACATCAAGACATCGAGTTAGGAGCAAGACAAGTTTTCAAGTAAATTTTCATATTTTAGGTTGGGAGGTCTTTAGCACCGATATACCACCGTAATTTTTGGCACAGAATCCGATCACGGCCCGATCGGCTAGGACGTCTCACCCAAAGACATCAACCACAATCAAAATCACTATCAATATCTCAATCATTATCTCAATCACAACTTCAAGCACAATCACCACCATGTGTGCGGCATGACGTCCGATCTCGACCCGACCAGCTAGTCTGTCTCACCACAATGTCGTGTGGATCGACATCACTCTTTTCTAGCAATCATCTCATTCCATTTAAGGGGAATAATCTCATCACATCAATCTCATCCCAAACAAGGGGAATAATCACAATACACACCTACACCGACACGTGTAGTTTCAGGGTTAGGTCATTTCAACCTACCCTTCCTCGGTGACTAACGATACTCCCAAATGTTTATTATATAAAGGACTTTCAGTTCATTTCATAGTCTTTTACTTATCTTTTCATTTCATTGGCACTAGTGGTCACACATGTAATGTCATTCTTGGCACGTCGGTCGTATTTCATATGTCATGATCACCCCTTTTACTTTCAAACATCATCATAGATTATCAACAACAAAACATCTCTAATCACGACCTTTAGTACACATATGAGCAAATAAGAGTCTTAGGCACATTGAATTTTCTTCCATAATTTGGCATAATACTAGCATTTGAGACATAATTGAATTCATAATATTTTGATATATGGTCACATTTGAATAAAATCTCGAAGGATAACACAATATGATAAGAGCATTCCGAATACATTTTGAACATATAACTTTCGACATAAAGTTTATTCGTTATAGTCAAGTTTATAAGAAACAGCTCGGAACATGAGACATAAGAGCTTGAGCTAATAATAACTATAACTTACGAGGACATCATGGATTCGATTCTACAAGATGAGTTTAGCCAACATACCTCGCTTTGAGCTTTCCTTAAATTACTACACGGTTCTGGAAATCCTAGCAACTTTGATCTATTTAGATACATGATAAAATCGAACCACAATTAGGAAGATATTCATAGGTTCAACTCACTTGATCATTTTATCAAACACTAGGTGGACATTATGTTTTCAAGGTCCTCCCATGGTGGATTCCTTTATCCCACAACCCAACATCTACCCTTTTGAGTTCAACAACCTTCCCACCACTTTGGTAGTAGATGCATGCATAGATAACACCCATATACCTAAGAATTACAATCCCCATTACCTATCTTCTACCACAAGCTCAAAATTGAAACTAGGGTATAGAACATTACCTCTTGGATGAAGATATTGTAAGTCTTCCTTGTGAATTCTTCAAGTCTTGAGCAAAGATTGATGAACAATTAGCTTAGGAATCTCCCTCTCACTTTAGATTACTTTCCTCTCTCTAAAATATCAGTTAGAACAAGCCAAAATAAACCACAAGTTGTTTTTATAAAAATGGGATCGGGTGAAATTTTTCAAAACTTAAACTCTACGAAGTCGGATCTGCAGTCGTAGACCGGATAACAAAACAGGTATGCAGCCCGCAAAGGGGACCGCAGAAAAGGTCCCAAAAACTGGGCAGGTCTGGACAGGTTTGCGGTCCGCAGATCAGTTTTGTGGTCGCATAATGGACCGCAGAACCTCCTTCCGAAGTTTTCTCATGCTGGATCTGCGATGGATTGTGCGGCCCGCGAAATGGTTATGAGGCCGCATAATGGACCGCAAAACAACCTCCAAAATTGGCCATTTC